CAAACCTATCTTCTGATCACTCTAAAAACAATGTTAACAGAAGGGCCATAACTTGAAAGGTCTCTAGGAAAATAATTTTTTTTAAATCAAGATTTGGTTTTGGTTTATTTGGCCCTTTTTGAAGAAAGTAAGCACCCAGATTCAATGTGGTCTCAGATAACCAGCCCCACAGAGGAGAAGCACATTATCTTAGGCTTTCATAGCTTTATGATAATCTGTTCCATGAATACCCAATCCCTTTTGTTTTAATCCTGTGCTCACCAAACAAACTTCTGATCCATAGCTTCAGTGTTTGAGAGGACTTGCCAATGGATAGCCTTCTTGAGGCAAAAGTTATTTTTCTCCAGCTAAGTGAATCTATTTTTAAAAGTAATAAATTGGTCCTCTCTGTTGTCATCTTGTGTTTGGTTAGTGTCTGCTCATTAGAATATGATGAACTTCAGGGAAAGTAATGCCATAGGGAATCTATACTTGAGAAATGAAGACCAGTACTCTGGCCATGGAGCTCCCTCCAAGCATTGTTACACCAAAACCCTGCCTACCAGCTGGCAAGTGCATCTTTTATATCTTTTTGATGTAAACTATATCTTATTTCTTCTTTCAACAAATAAGCTGGAGAAGATGAGACATGATCCAAATGATAAATGTACCATAAAGTACCCAACTTAAAGGATAGTGCAACTCCTTCCTTACTCCCTCCCTCCCTCCCTCCCTCCCTCCCTCCCTCCCTTCCTTCCTCCCTCCCTCCTGTCCATGTAAGAATAAAGGGCTAGTGCCCAGGCATGGGAGACAGCGTGACAAGTTCTGAGAATTGTTGAGTTGAGACCTACAAATACTATACTGTTAAGCATTTAACTATTTGCTCTTGTATCATTCTCTAATTGTTGTTACCAGCTACCTAAAACCATTTGGGATCTTTTTTTTTTTTTTAAGTAAGACAAACAAAGTAAATAACTGTGTCCTAGTTTCTTCATGCTCTCCACCTCCTCATTAACTACCACCATCCAACTTCTTCAAATACCAATGTGGTTCAGAGTGAAAGTAAAATGGAATTTCTGACTCAGGACTTATTTTAAAAATGATTTTTAGAGATAGGAAGGGAGGGAGGGAAGGAGGGAGGGAGGGAGGGAGGGATAGATATCAATGTGAGAGAGAAACATCGATTGGTTGCCTCCCACACATGCTCTGGCTGGGGATCAAACTCACAACCTGGATATCAAATCCACCCACCACCTTTTTGTGTACCAGAAAATGCTCCAACCAATTGGACCACCAGTCAGGGCTCTGGCTCTGGACTTTTAATCTGGTCTGGAAAACTCCATAAGTTTTTCGTCTTTCTCCGTAAATGAGATGCTTTTGTGACATAAGTGCTCAGTCTCACTCTAGGGTAATTTCTCAATGAGACAGATACATTTCTATGAGTACATGACAAGGGGGAGGGGGATAATATCAAAGTACTACCCAGAAGACTAGAGATTAGATTGTGTATTCAGTTTATATGGCAGGGATTATGAGAATACAGGGCCCCCATACTACCTGACCCCTGATCTGTATGAACCCTGCTCTCCTTTCTCTCACTTGAAGTGGCCTCACGTATTTTCAATTCATCTATACTTATTTGTGCCAGCCACCTTTGAACTGCTAGATTACAGTTCCAGAGCCCTCACTTCATATCTGATTATGATTTTCTGTACTTGGCATTTAAGCTTTTATTCCAGCTTCATTTGCTCATGAGATTCTACCTAACCAGGTTGTATGGCAACCAAGGATTCCCGTTCCCTGGGTTTCTCAGCTTTAAGAGAAACCATTCTGTTGGTTTCACAAAATTAAATATTTTTATAAATATGATATATCCCGATCTGATAATACAGGCAGGCGTGACCATCAGCAATCTGCATTTTAAAGACATTCTTGCTTAATGCTTTAGGTGAATTAACGTAGATCTTATTTTTCTTATAAAAAATGCAGTGACTGTACCCTAGTTACTGCAATCCTGCCTCTGTTTGCCACAATTCAGAGAAGACATGAAGGTTCAAACTGGTTGAGTGTGTGTGGACTAGCAGATAAAAACCTACAGCCTTAATTCTAATTTGAGACCAGCTTAATTTATAAATTAATTTGGTTATAGCCACTATAATTTGTAAAATAAATATCTAATTTTACATTTGTTTCCACATGCAACAAAAGGACATTGAAAATCTGTAAACAAATATTTTTCAACGAATGGGGCCTTGAGCTCACAGGTTCTGGGTATCTTATCATGTTATTCCAACCAAGTGTCATCACTTTAGAATTACTTGCTGTAAATGTAAAAATGGCCCAGATACTTCCTTCTCCTTTATTCATGCCCTTCTGCAATGTGATTTTACAGCTCTATCCATTGAGAGATCTGTATCATTTATTTCTCTAACCTTTGAAACTACTTTGGGCATGTGACTCGCTTTGGCTAATGAGACATTCACAAACATGGTGTAAGCAGAGACTTAAGAAAAACTTGCCCAATGTGGCTTTCCCTCTTGATGCTCTTGGACTCCTTCAAGTCCAAACTTGCTGGAAGATGAGAGAACACAGGGAGAGAGTGGCCCCAATCATTCCAGCTGTCTAAGACAAGGCCATCACAAAGCAGCCCAATCACCAGCTAGTGGCAGATGCATGCATGAGCCCAGCCAAGATCAGCTAAGCCTGTTCCAAACCAAAACAGCCTAGCTACACTCAGTTCACAGTGTCAACCACAAAGTACCAGCTAATAAATGGTTATTGTCTAAAGCAGGGGTGGGCAAACTTTTTGACTCGAGGGCCACAATGAGTTCTTAAACTGGACCACAATGAATTCTTAAACTGGACCGGAGGGCCGGAACAAAAGCATGGATGGAGTGTTTGTGTGAACTAATATAAATTCAAAGTAAACATCATTACATAAAAGGGTACGGTCTTTTTTTTTTTTTTTTTTTTTAAAACAGCCTAGCTACACTCAGTTCACAGTGTCAACCACAAAGTACCAGCTAAGAAATGGTTATTGTCTAAAGCCATTAAGGTCTGAGGAAGTTAGCTACACAGTAAAATTTAAGTGATACAGTTGCCATAACCTATTTTGCTTGGCTTTAGAGAACAGATAAAATAAAAATACTCTTCAAGTCCTCCTACCTCAAATTTTCCAGGTGACAGGTGAACTTTAGTAAGTAGCACTTCAGGAAAAACATACTCTGTTCTGAATGTACCACTTAGGGAGAATATGTCAAATCTTGTCAAAGCTGTTTCTACCGGTTGTCCACAAGTTGTCAGATCAGTCGTTTTGCATTTCAGCATGGTGCATACCTATGTAGAACAGATGTAGATAAAATGCAATGCCTTACATCTAAGTTAGTTGTACTAGAATGATTGACTCAGTTTATAACTATAGCAAAGTAACTATTTCCTCATTTGATAAAAGATTTGGATCATGTTTCTTATCATTAACAGCTTTATTGGAAATGGCCAATGATTTGAGAACCAAGCCCACCTCCTGAATTTTGAATTTTAAATATTTGTCATTGGAAAGAAATAAAATGAAAAAACATCTGATGACAAGAAAGACTAAGATCAAAGTGATATCCCTACTCAGTGTTGACTTTAAAAATTAAAACAAAACTGTTTATATTCAGATACATTGGCAAAACTACATAAGAAAGCCTTATTGAGGTTCACTATAATATGTAAACTAGTTCATTAGTCAAATAGAAAATCATCATGGTCAGGTTAATAAATATTCTCTTAAATGTGCTCTAAGCAAACAATCCGATTATAGTTAACTTCTATTGCAAATATCATTATTACTCCTAGCATGTGTGTGTGTGTGTGTGTGTGTGTGTGTGTGTGTGTGTGTGTGTAATGCTGTATTGGCAATGCGTGGAGTCATGCAGAGAAAAGGCACTTGGCTCCCTGGGGCACACATGGAAGGTGAACCCTATAACTACTGATGCCTAAGCACCCCCTTTCACCTGAGCTGAGATTACCTGCCAGTACTCTCTTCTCCTTCGGCCGTGAAGTCCTGTGAAAGCTCCTAGAACATACACTTCATTCTCTTCTTTTCTTAACATTCTATAGCTTAAATGACAGCAGAGATCTTTGTGACAGACTGTAAGATTTCCTGCATTTTCAAAAAGTGCTGTGAAGTTGAACGCATCTCGGGAAATAAACCCACTGAAAGTATTTTTCTGGACTGGGAATGGTTTGATGGTTGTGGCATAGGCACTCCAGTCCACAGCTGTGGGGTAGGCAGGAGAGGTTCGGGGACGCGAATCCACTTCTGAAAGAAGGAGCCTTCCCGAGTCTGTTTCCATATCATAATGGTATACTCGGGGCGAATGCGGTGCATAAATACCACTGCCTGTGAATGGAAAAGGAGTGTTTTTAATACAAAACCAACACTGCCAGTTTCCCCATCAGAACTGAGCACATGGTCACATCACCACGTTGGTCCCAACAAGACAGCACACGGGCTTCTAGTTACAGGGAACACCCAAGCGCTCCTCCTTTTCTCTACTGAGGGAGTATAATAGATGTTTGATGTCTGGTGTCAAATAAACTTTGACTGTAACAGGAATGTTTATGAGCATTGTGGAAAATTAAAACCAATATAAAACTCTTTGTATTTGGGAGTACATGAAAGGTAGGGAACGGGAATACAAAATTCTCTCCTGGTCCCCACTATGCTGGTGTCTCCATATCACTCCCAAATGTTTCAACACTCTTCTCTCCAATGGGTAGGTCTAATTCCTTTCCCTTTGAGTGCAGGCTGGACTTTGCAACTCACTTCTAATGAATGGAACACGGTAGAAGTGACGGTGTGTGATTAATAAAAACAGCAGTGCAGCTCCCGCTCTCACTCACTCTATCTATCTATCTATCTATCTATCTATCTATCTATCATCTATCTAAAGAAAATCAGCTGTCATGTCATGAAGATACATCACACAGCCTATGGAAAGGCCCAAGAGGCAAGAAATGAAGGTCTCCTGCCCATATTCCCTGAGGAACTAAGGCAGTGGTTCTCAACCTTCTGGCCCTTTAAATACAGTTCCTTATGTTGTGACCCAACCATAAAATTATTTTCGTTGCTACTTCATAACTGTAATGTTGCTACTGTTATGAATCGTAATGTAAATATCTGATATGCAGGATGGTCTTAGGCGACCCCTGTGAAAGGGTCATTCGACCGCCAAAGGGGTCGCGACCCACAGGTTGAGAACCACTGAACTAAGGGATCCTGCCTATACAGCCACGTGAGGCAGCCCTCCTGGAAACAGGCCTGCCAGCCCCACTCAAGGCTTCAGATGACCACTAGCCCAGCTAAGAGCTTGACGTAACCCAAGGAGATAGTCTGAGCCAGGATCCCCCAGCTAAGCTAGTCCCAAGTAGTGACCGATAGAAAAGGTGAGATAGTAAATGTTTGTCGTTTTAAGCTACTTTTTACTGTGAAGGTAAATTGTTCCAAACAACATACCAATTAATATGCTCCTCTGTCCTTTCCCAATGTTTGAGCAAATCATGTTTACTTCCATGCTTTGCCACTCACTAGCTGGTAGCCTTTGGCAAGTTACTTACATGCTCTGTGTCTCAGGTTTCTAATCTGTAAAAGTGGATGGTAGTACTCATCTCTCAGAGTTGTTGTGAGGATAAAGAAATAATGCACAGAAAGGTCTTAATGTAACCATAGCTGCTCAGATCAGTCACTAGGGCCCTAGCCTGTTTGGCTTAGTGGATAGAGCATCAGCCTGTGGACTGAAGGGTCCCGGGTTCGATTCTAGTCAAGGGCACATGCCTGGGTTGTAGGCTTGATCCCCAGTTGGGGGTGTTGGGGGTATGCAGGAGGCAGCCAATCGGTGATTCTTTCTCATCATTGATGTTTTTATTTCTCTCTCTCCCTTCCTTTCTGAAATAAATAAAAAAATATATTTTTTCTTTATTGATTAAGATATTACATATGTGTCCTTATCCCCTATTGCCCCCCCATCCCCCCCACTCATGCCTTCACCCCCCTGGTATCTGTGTCCATTGGTTAGGCTTATATGCATGCATACAAGTCCTTTGGTTGATCTCTCCCAAAAATATGTTTTTTAAAAATCAGTCACTAGGCTTTGTGTGTATGTGTAAAAAGTTGAAAAATATAGTGGTTAGTCCCTATAAAGAAGCAAAAAGTTATGACAGCTCACATCTGAGGCATTAGCTTCTCTGCATTTAGAAGTATTATCTGCAAACCTCATCTGGTCATAAATTACCTGTCATATTTTGTTGCACATGGTGTATATTTGCCGCAAGAAGATTAACTCTCATGCCCATAGCCCAAGCTGAGTGGAATTCAATAGCTGACAACAGGGGCAAAACATTCATCCACGCTGTGGGATACAGAATGGTGTCCACATGGAAGTCTTTCACCAGGGACACAGCAGGGTCGTGGAAGAGTATATCGAAGCATGTGAAAATGCCAAACCTTCCAAAGGTGGTGTTGAAAGTCACCAGCTCTGGCTTTTCAGGGACATCAAACTGAGGCTCAGAGTAGAGGTGGTACTGTAACAAATGCATAAGACAAAACCAGGAAAAGCTTCTTTACTGAAGAGATGACTTGTTAAAAAAAAAAAAGAAAAGAAAGAAAGAAAAAGAAGAGAAAAAAAACCCTCCAAAGTTAGTACTAGATTTAGTTATGGTCAACAACTGAGACTCTACAGGCAGTGAATGAGACTGGTTATTGGAAGTAAAAGGCCAAGGAAAAGGAATACAATATCTCCTCCCCAACCCCAGCCTGCCCAAATTAGAAGACAGATAACTTCCCATAAATTATAGGTTATGACTTTCTTAAAAGCTGAAGAAGCTTTTTTAATGTTTCTAGGTGTCAGGGATTCAAAGAAGAATGCTGTTATTGAATCCCTGACCCTGGAAACATAATAGATGCACAATAAGCACCTGTTAAGTGGATGAGGGGTGCTACCTCCCTTTTTACAGTGTCCCATCCAAAATAATTTCAGAGCTTTCAAAATTGCTGAAATTATAAATGAAAAGAAGTTGTCAAAACCCACAAAATGAAGAAAACTGTAAGGAAGCTGTTTGAAAGTTATATGATTGTTTTATTTATTTATTTATTTATTTACTTACTTACTTACTTATTTTTGTTTTGTTTTTTTAATCCTCACCCAAGGATATTTTTCCATTGATTTTTAGGGATTATGAAAAAGAATGGGAAAGACAGAGAGAAACATCGATGTGAGAGAAACACATCAATGGGTTGCCTTCTGCAAGAGCCCTCACCAGGGCGTGGACCAGGGAGGAGCCTGCAACCGAGGTACATACCCTTGACTAGAATTGAACCGGGGACCCTTCGGTCTGCAAGCCAACGCTCTATCCACTGAGCCAAACCACTAGGACTGTGTTTTATTTAGAAATACAAAAATAAATATACAATTTTTTTTCTGTAGCAGTATGTGATCAAAAGCATTGAAAAACAATTGGGTTAATATCACTCCTTACATTTCAACTGGGACTTCCAGCAGATTATTTCTCCACTCAAAAGATTCTGGATGGAGAAATTGTTAAAAGATACAATTTAAGATGCTTAGAAAAAGTGTGGGTGGGTGTGGAAGAGGATGTACACACTGACATGCATATCCCATATCCACTTAGAAGGCTGGCTCTTTCCCTGCCAATTTGGTATAAAATTATGGCTAAAGGTTATTTTGCTCTTTTAATTCAGAGTTTATAGTAAAAATTTTCTGATCTAACCTTAAATTCATAAGAGGGTAATTCAGTTAACTGGTATGAAAAATAAAGGGAAAGATAATTTTTGTAATTTGATAGAAAACAGGGAAATTAACTTCTGTAAAACTCATTCATACAATTTGGAAACATCTTTATATCATTTCAGTATTAAACGGTATCCAGACCACAGTCACCTTGGTATCCTTTGAATTAATATTAAAATTACATTTTTATACACAGAATGATTTATCTCAATCATGGACTATTGTAACATCTTTCTAATAGCTCTTTGCCTACATTTTTTCCCAGATTAGCTTTTTCTAAAATGTGACTTTCTTTAGTGTTTGCCGTAACAAAAAATCTCTAATAACATCATATATGGGGAATAAAGCTCAAAATACTTAACATAGCATTCATCTCCCTCATAACAGTCATCATTCTACATACCCACCCTCTCTTACCTTGTGGTAACGTGCCACCAATTGTCCCTTTGCATCATATACCACGTTGGTATTGTACTGATAATAGCCATTAGGAGGACATGTGGAGTCCTGAGAATTACATCGCTTTTTGTCCCCAATATTTGCCAAGACATAGATAGAGTTGTTCTTGGCCAGGCAGCTGAGTCTTGTTTGTATGGGTGTGTGACCAAATCTAAATCAAATTTTAATGAAGAGATTTTAATAAGTCAGACAGAGAAAGACTTATACTGTATGATATCACTTATTTGTGGAATCTAAAAAGACTGAATTCACAGAAACAGTAGAATAGTGGTTACCAGGGGCCAGAAGATAGGGGAATTAAGAATATATGGTTTAAGAGTACAAACTTGAAACTAGTAGGTAAATAAGTCTTGAAGGTCTAATGTACAGCACACAGATAATAATATTGTATTATAGACTTCAAAGTTGCTTAGAGACTAGATCTTTTTAAAAAATATATATTTTTTATTGATTTTTTACAGAAAGGAAGGGAGAGGGATAGAGAGTTAGAAACATCGATGAGAGAGAAGCATCGATCAGCTGCCTCCTGCACACCCCCTACTGGGGATGTGGCCGCAACCAAGGCACATGCCCTTGACTGGAATTCAACCCAGGACCCTTTAGTCCACAGGCCGATGCTCTATCCACTGAGCCAAACTGGTCAGGGCGAGACTAGATCTTAATTGTCCTCACCACAACAAGAAATGATAGTTATATGACATGATAGAGGGATTAACTGGAGCTATGGTGCTAATCATATTGCAATATATAAACGTATCAATTTAACACATTATACATCTTAAATTTACACAATGTTATATGCCAATTATATCTCAATAAAAAAGGCATTTCAACTTTAAAAAGTATTTAGTTACTTCATATGTAAACAATAATAACAATAGGACAGATAGATGGTCAATAGATATATGAAAAAATGCTCAACATCACTAATCATCAGAGAATTAAAACCACAATGAGATTCACCTCACACCTGCCAGAATGGCTACCATCAATAAGTCAATAAACAACAACTGCTGGCGAGCATATGGAGAAAGGGGAACCCTTGTATACTGCTGGTGGGAATGCAGATTGGGGTAGCCACTGTGGGCAACAGTATGGAGTTTCCTCAAAAAATTAAAAATAAAACTGCCTTTTGACCCAGTGATCCCACTTCTGGGAATATATCCTAAGAATCCCAAAACACCAATTCTAAAGAATACATTCACTCCTCTGTTTATAGCAGCATTATTTACAATTGCCAAGATCTGGAAACAGCCCAAGTGCCCATCAGTGGATGACTGGATAAAAAAGCTAGGGTACATTTATACAATGGAATAGTACATGGCCATAAAAAGAAGGAAATCTGCCCTAGCTGGTTTGGCTCAGTAAATAGGGTGCAGGCCTGCGGACCCAAATGGTCCTGGGTTTGATTCCTGGGTTAAATTCCTGGGTTCGATTCTGGTCAAGGGCACGTACCCAGGTTGAGGGCTCAATCCCCGGTGGGAGCTGGGCAGGAGGCAGCCAATGATCAATGATTCTCTCTCATCATTGATGTTTCCGTCTCTTTCTGCCTCTCCCTTCCTCTCTGAAATCAATAAAAAATATTTTTAAAAAATGGTTGAATGAATGAAAAGATTAATTATTTAAATTTGACTATATCTGATGATAATGCAAGCCAATTTTCTGTCAAAATGTTTTTCTTCTACTGTAGGGCTATAATAGAGGCACTTACTAACCATATGGAAGAACCTGTCCCCCAACATTTACTAGTTCCCATAGTTACTGTGACCTTTGACTCATCCATACATTTGCATCATATGTTGTTTTTAACAGGAAATCCAGAACTCAGTCATACTGTGAGATTAAAAATAAATGGGCCATCCCAATTCCCAAAACTTCTAGGCAGAAAGACTGTCCAGCTATTGGCCTCTTTTTTACACGAAATAAAATTTCTTACAAACACCATAGAGAAATCAGCTCAGGACAGGAAGGGTGGGAAGAGGAAATTGTCCGAGGTCATGTAACCCAATATTCTCTCTTTTTCTTCTTCTTCTTCTTTTTTTTGTGTGCAGTTAATCTCTCTAGAGCAAAGAAAAGCCCTTTCCTGGTAGCCCTTATATAAATGTCAGAATAACCAGGAGTGCCTAAAGAAGTGTGGTAGCTATAATCCTCCAGCAAAAATATGGCAGAGGGCCCTGACCGATTTGGCTCAGTGGATAGAGTGTTGGCCTGTGGACTTAAGGGTCCCAGGTTCGATTCCAGTCAAGGGCATGTACCTTGGTTGCGGGCACATACCCAGTGGGGAGTGTGCAGGAGGCAGCTGATCAATGTTTCTCTCTCATCAATGTTTCTGACTCTCTCTCCCGCTCCCTTCCTCTCTGTAAAAGTCAATAAAATATATTTTTAAAAAAAGAAAGTCTGATTTGTAAATATATATATATATATGGCAGAGGAATGTTACATAAACTTCATTTGAGGTAAAAGAATGAGAAAGTATGAGCGGGCAACAGAGTGAGAGGATCTGAGAGATGAGTAAGAATAAGTGGGATAGAGTGAGTGACCTTTCCCTGAAAGGTTTGAAGTGTACAATCTGTACCTCAATAACCGCCAAGTCTTATTAGGAAGTAGGATTTATATATTAAACATACATCCATGTCTATTAAATATGTTGCATTAGATTCCTAGATTACATTCCTAGATTACTTTTTCTCAGGAAAATTACCTTTATGAGCCTAGGAACATGCAAAGTTTCATAGCATAAGTCTTATGATGCACTAGAGCACTGGTTCTCAACCTCTGGCCCTTTAAATACAGTTCCTCATGTTGTGACCCAACCATAAAATTATTTTCGTTGCTACTTCATAACTGTAATGTTGCTACTGTTATGAATCGTAATGTAAATATCTGATATGCAGGATGGTCTTAGGCGACCCCTGTGAAAGGATCGTTCGACCGCCAAAGGGGTCGCGACCCACAGGTTGAGAACCGCTGCACTAGAGAGTACACAGTGAGGTCTTTCTGCCTGAGAAGCAGATTCCAATACAATTGCAACATGGTACCTTTAAATAGAGACATGGAAATATTTTCCAAACACAACCCACTGTCCATCCACTTCATAAATTAATTTACTACTTGTATCCATGAGATCCTCTCCCCCTTCATCAGCAGTCCTACTTAGAAATGTCCTGTTTACATATTTTCTCTAAATTGAATAAAGATATTAAATGGTATCTAAGTGCAATTTTTTAAATCTAACAAATGCCAAGATAAATATACCAATAACATACCACCAGATACATGATAATTCAGGATTTATCATTTTGCTGTGGTGAACATGCACATTTTAGAGAATTGCCGCCCTTTTGCACAAACTAGGATAGAGACAATACCTTTGGGGGTCTTGACATGGAATCCAGTCCACCTGAGGGTCTGGGATATCCTCCAGATAAGGGAAAATGGTTTCCCTGGTAAATTTCCATCCATACAGTGCATCTTCTGGAGTCACGATAATTTGAGCACCCTATTCAAAACAAGTCCAATCAAAAGTATGTCTCCACGTGTAACACAGACAATGCAACACGGCAACCTTCCACCAGATTTCATGTCCCTGCCATGGATTAAGATTAGTAGAAATAAAAGAATACCTGCTCAGCTGCCTGCTTTATCGCTTTCTCCAGAATATCTATATTCTTGTTCATAAGGAGCAAGGCATCGTCCCGAGAAACAGGTGTCTCTGTGCCCTTTGGCCTTAGGACAGCATGTTCATACACGGCAGCTATAAATGTATCCAGGGCACTGACATGCAGGGTAACCAGGGCAAGAACTGCCACAGAGGCTTGAAAGGAGGAAGTGATCATGGCCAAGGTCTAGTGATTTCTGAAAGTGCAAGTAAAATTCATGTCGCATTTATAAAGGGCGGCGCCCGAGTGCTTATTTTGTAATCTTATGAATATTAAACCCAACCCACTTTTGAGAGGAAAATATTGCCATTAAATGAATACAATAAAAAAGCATTACAAAGATTGTACAACATCTACTATTGATAAAATTTGATGTCAAATTTCAATAAAAACAAAATTGAAATGTAGTACAATTACACCCTTTAAGAGAGAGAAAATTAAAGTAACTCTGATGTGAAAAATAATAATACAACATACCTGCGCTCTCTCTTTCCCAAGGTTAGTCTGAGAGTCCAAGATACATGAAGGTTCTCTGTAAGATTAGGATGGGATGACAATTATTAACTCAAACAGTGACAATTTAGTCATGTAATGATCCCGAATGTTTCGTGTGCTTTAGTTGTTAGGCCCACAGAACAACTCTTACTTGAGTAAACAAATCTAGTCTATTTGGGGTCCTGGGGATAAAATGGGGGCAGAGTACCTGAGATCGACTCCTGGATCTTGCCAAGCAGGACATGGCAGGTGCCCATCAACCACGAGGTGGAGATACAACAAAAACACCGAGGAACTCAGGATAGTGCGGGGCCGCTTCGAGCCCTGCCTCAGCCTGAAGGACGTCCTCGTCTGGCCTCTCTCCCAGAAATGAAATGACATTAAGTGAGCTGAGAAGTAAAGAGTTGGAAATAGCGTGTACAACACTGATAGCATTTCCTCATGGCAGCAAGGATGACACATCAGAATAAGAAGCAAGAAAACCCAGGTTCTTCTTTTCAAACTATTCTCTTGATAATTGTATACAAAAAAAAAAAAAAAAGGAAAGAAAGAAAGAAAGATGATACTATATCTCCAAAAAGGACAAGTGGTAAGAAACAATGTTTTTGTCCCTGTCCCCTGTGGAGGCTTTCGTATGTCTTCAAAAGATTGTTTGAATCTGCCTTTTTGGAAGGAAATGTCTGCTTGAGCAGAACCAGCCTGAACTTTATTTTTTGGTGTCTGGTCTCATGCAAGTGAGACTTGGATGGGCATTCAACTGCTCGGACAGGACAGCTAATACAACTAAAGCCAAGAGGAAATCGGAGAGTTATGAAATGTCATGCCCCACTGAATGGAAAGGGTTGTGCCACAGGAAGTTGCCAGTAGCCAACTATTTTTGACCTACGGCCTCTGTAATTTCACGTGGTTCAAACTACCCTCTGCTTTCAGCTCTCAGAAGTTGAGGAGCTGCAAAAGTCCCTTTGAACTGGTAGCATGCTCCCGATTCTTCAAAGGGAAAACAGTAACCAACTCTCTTGCTGACTTTGCTTGCAAACCATTAACTTTAGTTCCCATTCAACTATGCCCAAAGTTCATTGCATTCACCAAAAGGAACTTGTAAAAATTGTTTTGGCCAGTGCTACAGACTGAATGTTTGTGTGCCCCTCCACCCCCCAAACTCATATGTCCAAACCCAATTCTTAGTGTGATGTATCAGGAAGTGGGGCCTTTGCAAAATTTTTATGTCATGAGGGAGGAGCCCTCAAGAATGGGACTCCTTCCCGGCAGGTGTGGCTCAGTGGTTGAGCATTCACCAATGAACCAGGAGGTCATGGTTCGATTCCTGATCAGGCAGAGCACATGCCTGGGTTGCAGGCTTGATCCCCGGTAGGGAGCATGTAGGAGACAGCCAACCAATGATTCTCTCTCATCATTGATATTTCTATCTCTCTCCCCGTCTCCCTTCCTCTCTGAAATCAATACAAAAATATATTTAAAATAAAAAAAGAAAAGAATGGGGTTCCTGCCCTTATAAAAGAATCTCTATGGAACTCCTTTGCCCCTTCTTCTATGTGAGAACACAGTGTGAAGTAGGAATTGGGTCCTCACCAGATACTGAATCTGAACCTTGATCTTGGACATCCCAGCCTCCAGAACTGTGAGAAATAAATTTCCATTGTTTATTAGATGCCCAGTTTGTAGTATTCCATTACAGCAGCCCACATGGATTAAGACAGCTGCATTCAAAGATTGTGGCAAAATAAGGATGACCGCCTTATTTTCAGGACAACAGGAATAAATCCAAAGGAGCAGATCAAAGCCACTTGTTCATTGTGTTGGGCAGTTATAGAAACAAGCACCTGAAGGATAAAACAATAAAGCTGGACTCCCAGGTACTACAGAAGGAGAAAAATGAAAAGATAGATTAAAAGTAGAAAAGTGTCAAGCTGTGGAACATTTATTGTTTTTATCAAACAATATGAGGATGTTCAAACATAAAAGTTCAAAGAGTGTGAGTCAAAGCTGAGGGCCAGACCTGCAATCAAAAATCTCAAAGGTTTGAGAAAATGCTCCAAGGAGTAACAGTTTTGTGGTTTAGTTTATATATTAGTAAAATCAAAAGTCTATATGGAAGGAAGGTTCTGAAATCCATTGGTGGTAGATAAGGAGGTGGGAGACCGCAAAGCAGGGAAATCTCTAGGACTGAATGAAAAATAAAAATGGAGAGATGCATACTTCTTTTACATTGATGGGTGCTGGATAGTTAACACTTAACATACAAGTAACTGTATAGAGGTATGCAGGTAAATGATAACAACAAGGCATGTTGGGGTGGTCTGGCCCCGGTACTGGGTGTTTATCTCTGGAGGTCTAGAGAAGATTTATTCTGACATTCTAAGCTTATTATCCTAGAAGCACAAAAACAATGGAAAGGGCTTGTTCAATGTAAAGATTAATCTATCATATAGGCCTTAGGACATGACTTCCCATGATAACCTATGCAGTTAGGAATTTGTATGAACAGAATATCCTGTGGTTACTTTCAGCTCTTGAGTGTGTTAGGTCTGCCGGGTAGCCCTGTTTTCATTCATCAGAGCATCACAGTAATTCACCGATTGATTATTCACCTTGTTCATGTTCAATAGGCAAGGATGTAAAAAAGCATGTTTGCCGAAACCGGTTTGGCTCAGTGGATAGAGCGTCGGCCTGCGGACTGAAAGGTCCCAGGTTCGATTCCGGTCAAGGGCATGTACCTGGGTTGCGGGCACATCCCCAGTAGGAGATGTGCAGGAGGCAGCTGATCGATGTTTCTCTCTCATTGATGTTTCTAACTCTCTATCTCTCTCCCTTCCTCTCTGTAAAAAATCAATAAAATATATTTAAAAAAAAAAAAGGCATGTTTAATGCCTAAGATAGGTCACTACTTACGGGTCTGTCTAGGTGAGGCCTTACATCCCTGGATCCTATCTGCTGTCCTCTTTCCAAGGCCGGTGGCTCCTCCAATCACCCCTGACTTCCTGTTTTGGTTTATTTTCTGGGTGGCCAGCAGCTGGCCTGAGGGTTCTGCTCCTGTAGGCATCAGGAGAGGGAGAATTTGTTTTATCCTAGCCTGGCAACCCTGATTTCTGGGCTTTTCTTTCAAGCAGTTGTAGAGGCTGGGTAACACAGGCCAGGTGGAATTACATGGTTGCTACTGAGCAATGTCCAAATGGCCAGGGGAAGTAACAGCCAGAGAAGTTAGCCCTTTTCTAGCCCTAAGACCTACATTGACTCTTACATTCACATTATATTCCTTCTCTTTAGCCCATTGTTCTTTTATTGTAATGCAAATCCACTCTAGAACTTTCCCCCATGTGGGCATAACTAAATTCCTGTATGGCCCTGCATCTAATTACTGATAACTCACATGGCAGGAATTTTTCTCACTTTAGTTATAAGAGTCAGGATGGTATGGAGTGATGGTTAATGGCATGGACCCCGAAGCCAGAATGCCTAGGTTTGAATCACTTCCCAGCTGGCTGACTATGAGTAAGCAATGTGACCTCTCAGTACCACAGTTTCCCTCATCTGCCAAAGGTGGTAGTATGTGCTGAATAATATTTGCTGTTATTATTGCTTCAAACCCAGAAGACGGTGGTTCTATTGGAGGACAATGCCCAGGGAAGCTTTGACCTAGGGCTTTAATTCTCTCTGCTCCTGTGCCCACCTGTTCTTGGCTACTAATTTGTGAAAAAAAACTTCAACCAGTCCATCGTCTCTGTTTTCTCATTGTTCTCTCTCTTTCCACAAAACCTTCCGTGTCAATCTGCCCTGACAGGTTTATCCTGAAATTATTAACTGAAAGTCCATTTCTACCAGCTACTTTTGAATGTTTTCTCTCCAACTGTACCACAGATTTTCTCTCTGATCAATAATTCTAACTCCTTAATTCATTCATCACAGATTTTTTTAAAAAAACAGATATACACACAACACACACGTGCACACAACTTACCGAGAAACTCTATTACTTATTCATTACTGTTGGGAATGCGGAATGGCACAGCCAGCCACCCTGGAAAACAAGCGTGGCAGTTTCTGAAAAAGCTATTTATGGCCCTACCCCATCCTGGATGGAACAGTAAACAGTGAGGTAGGGCAGAATTCCAGTGCCTCCTACATCCTGTTCCCTGTTCTGGAAGAGGACAGGACAGTGTTGGTGGAGAGTTGAGAGGCCCCAGGGCAGGAAGAATTTCTTTTTTAATATATTTTATTGATTTTTTAAAGAGAGGAAGGGAGAGGGATAGAGAGTTAGAAACATCGATGAGAGAGAAACATCTATCAGCTGCCTCCTGCACACTCCCCACTGGGGATGTGCCCGCAACCAAGGTACATGCCCTTGACGAGAATAGAACCTGGGACCCTTCAGTCTGCAGGCTGACGCTCTATCCATTGAGCCAAACCGGTCAGGGCAAGAATTTCTTTATGAGCTGTTACTTCTGATAGGCTGAGCCATTAACCTAAGTGACCACATGCAAAGACAGAGAAGAAAAGCCGACATCTTGCATTTGTCTGCTTTGAACACCCAGAATCAGAGTCACAGGCCATAGCGCTGCTAAATGGAATTCATTTCTATGGAAGATCAATGATCAATTAATGCACAGTATATACACGGGAGTGCTCGCTCCTCTAAATCAACTCACCAAGGTCCTGAGAGCTGTGTTAAGACAAATTCCCCAACAACAAAAATGAAAGAAGTCGTGGGCAGGTCTTCCTTCCCTATGCATTTCCCCCCAATATTGCTGCTTTTCCTTGAGATATTTTTTTTTCAGAAGATGCAAGGGCATGTATATAGTCCAGTGTTGCTTTCTTACTATGAGATGATAGTGCCACTTCCTAATGTATAGCCCTGTCCTCCCACTATTCGTGTTCCACATCTAGAGACAGGACCTGGCTCTTGGGAATGGATTCACCAACAACTGAGTGACTGATCTTCATCAGCTAAGTAAGAAGTAAATAATAAGAGGTAAAAGGACCCAGTAATAGTGATAAAACAGAAAACAATACAGGAAATGAATATGGCCCAAAGTGCTGAAAGTATATGAAGAAAAGTTATTAATACTATGTTCAAATATTTATGTACACTGATTTTAATTTTTTTAAAGGAAAACAACTCTATCAGAATTCATACAACAATTGATTTCATGGTGGACATTTTCAAAATCCATATATATAAAAGGCTAATATGCAAAGTGTTCTCTCAGGAGTTCAACCAGGAGACTTGGATCGCTTGCTATGATGTGTGCTGACCACCAGGGGGCGGCATGGAACATGGCAGGTGACCAGCGGCAGCTGGTGGTGACGGGGCGGTGCTGAGGGAGTGAGGGAAGGAGGAGGCGGGGAGGCAGAGAACCTGATCGGCCCTGATCGCCAGCCAGGCTTAGGGACTCTACCTGTGCATGGATTTCTGCACTGAGCCTCTAGTATATAATAATGTGACAACTGACTTGGTATTCAAATTTGTTTTGAATGACAAAAACTTAAAAATGAAATAATAATGTACTACTTTGTCATGCTTTTTGTCAAGAAGAAACAGACTTTGAATGATTTGTTTTAGTACTGATGACAAAATTGCACTAAACTCAGAAGTCGTGCTGAACCCCAAGACTTCCTAGATTGTCACCTATAACTCTCAACTACAAACAGGCTGGGAGTAGAACAGGCTGTGGATTTTCTGAGAAAACTAGTGCAAATGTTTAAGATTTGCAAGTTGTTCTTAAAAAGGCTGAATAAGCAGGCCTTATTTAGTTCCCTTTGTTAATACTGTAGATGTGTTTTTCTTTGTCTGAATATGCTATTTGAGTCTTACACTCTTATGAGTTTTTCATAAATAGAGGACATATGATATTGATACCAAAGGAAAGATAACTATCATAGGACTAAACTTTGGGTCATTCCTTTTTTATAAGATTGTATATAAACAGAGATATGTGTTTCTTTACTTTCATTTACTAGTAATTGTACTTAGTGAAAATTAGTTAGAAAATTATGTTGGTATTTATTATCCACCTCTTTTACCAGCTAGATTTGAGGAGGTATATTTATCATATTTAAATCCTCACAACTTAATAAATAAGTAAATAGAAGATTTCATTAATGTATGATATTTAATATCTATTGTCCAAATCAAAGTTCCTATGTAAAATAATGGGTTATTTGAGGGGAAAACTAATCATGCAACTACCATACTATCCAACAGCTGTATCATTCCCAGGCAGTTATCCCAAATTATGAAGACATGTTCACACAAAAATCTGAACATTAATGTTCATAGTAGTGTTATTTGTAATAAACATAAGCTGGAAATAATCCAGGTGTCCTTCAATGAATGATAAGGCAAGCTGTAGACCCGTACCATGGAATATTCCTCAGCAATATAAAGAAATGAAGGATAGGTACATGCAATAATGTAGATGAATCTTAAGAGCAATGTGCTGAATGAAAAAAGCCCAATCCCCAAAGTTAATAACATACTATGTGATTCCACTTATACAACATTCTTAAAATGACAAAACTATAGAAATAGAAAACAGATTAGTGGTTGCCAGAGATTAAGGGAGGTGTGACTGTGAGAGGGAACTGGATGTTCTATAAAGAGGCAACATAAAGGATAGAGAACATTCTGTATCTTTTAAAATATATATTGATTTTAGAGAGGAAGGGAGAGAGAAAAACATCAGTGATGAGAGAGAATCATCTATCCGCTGCCTCCTGCTCACCCCTTACTGGGTATTGAGTCTACAACCCGGGCTGTGCCCTGACCAGGAATTGAACAGAGACCTCCTGGTTCATAGGTCGAGGCTCAACCACTGAGACACGCCGATTCCATCAATATATCCTGGCTATGATTTTGTACTATAATGTTGCAAGATGTTTTCATTGGGGAAAACTTGGTAAAGAGTATACATAACCTCTGTATATTAATTCCTTTTTTTAAAAAAATATATTTTATTGATTTTTTTTACAGAGAGGAAGGGAGAGGGATAGAGAGTTAGAAACATCGATGAGATAGAAACATCGATCAGCTGCCTCCTGCACACCCCGTACTGGGGATGTGACCGCAACCAAGGTACAGGCCCTTGACCAGAATCGAATCTGGGACCCTTGAGTCCTTAGGCTGATGCTCTATCCACTGAGCCAAACCGGTCAGGGCTATTAATTCCTTTTTAAGAAATATTCAAAGTGATGAATAGCAAGAACCTACAACCAAGATTACTTTATCCAGCAAAGCTATCATTCAGAATTGAAAGTCAGATAAAGAGCTTCACAGATAAGAAAAAGCTAAAGGAGTTCATCACCACCAAACCAGCATTATATGAAATGCTGAAAGGTATTCTTTAAGAAGAGGAAGAAGAAAAAGGTAAAGATAAAAATTATGAACAGCAAATACATATCTATCAACAAGTGAATCTAAAATTCAAGTGAATACAAAATCTGATGAACAGAGTAAACTGGTGACTATAATAGAACCAGGGGCATGGAAAGGGAGTGGACTGACAATTCTTGAGGGGAAAGGGGTGTGGGGGTGCAGGAAGAGACTGGACAAAAATCATACACCTATGGATGAGGACAGTGGGAGGGGTAAGGGCAGAGGGTTGGGTGCAAACTGGGTGGAGGAGAGCTATGGGGGGGAAAAAAGAGGAACAACTGTAATAATCTGAACAATAAAGATTTAATTAAAATAAATAAATAAATAAATAAATAAAATAAAAAAATAAAAATGTTTTGATTGATTTTTGAAAAGGGAGAGGGAGAGGGAGAAAGAGAAACATCCATCGCATGCCCCCTCCTGGCATGCACTTGCATGTGCCCCAACCGGGAATCCAACCTGCCACTTTTTGGTGCATGAGACAACACTCAACCACCTGCTCAGCCAATTAAGCAACCACCTGCTCAGCTTTGTATTAATTCTTACAACTGCATGTGAATAAAAAATGATCCCCAAACTTATAAAGTTTAATTAAAAATATAATTTGTGATTTATTTGTCCTTTTTCTTTTTCCTTTGATTAATTTATATATCACATATGCATAGGTTGCAACATGGTCTTAACACAAAAGATACATTTTCTTGATTACTATTACATGCTACATTTACCCACATAAAATAGTCTCCTTTTGTTAAAGGATTCTTTTAAGTTAGGCACCTTTGTTACATTTAGAAGAATATAAACATATAAAAAGATAAATGAACACAACGACTTTCTTTGATAGTTCCACCCTGTCTTTTGGTTTCATTGCTCAAAGTTCCTCTATTTTTTAACGTTTTTTTCTTTTTGGTCATTTATTTTAATATGACTTGCAAAATCATAAAATGAGGAAGCTACAAGGTTAGTTTCATACAAAGTGTCTTTAAATACACTGATCTCCGCGGCGGCATGTGTTGACAACAGCCTGTTGGGAATGGAAACAGAAAGTTCTCTCACCAGAAAGCTTGGAATCTTTGCGTTGACTTTGAACTCTCAACAGTCAATAGCGCTGGTAACGGTACTAGGCGGTCGGTCCTGGGTCCTGGGGGGCGCCCGGACGCCGGGTGGTGGAGGTGGGAGCCCAGCCGCCGCCCCGCAGGAAGCTGCCGGCTGCTCGCCGGGTGCAATAGCGGCCCCGCGCGGCAGCGTCGGAAACTGCAGGCGCTCCGCATATTCTAGGCCACTGGGAGGAGGAGGGGCGACCTTGCCAGAGCCTGTGCTCTGCCAAGAAAAGCATTGAAGTGGGACCAGGGCGATTTAAGCATTGGAGCTGGGCGAGGGTGACCGAGGCCTGCACCTGTTCTGCACCCCATACAATGCAGCGGGCCGGGGTCACACTCCTTCCTGGGGTCGTTCTGGGAAACGGGGGAATCTGTGACATCCCTCCCGCCTCCCCCTCCCCCCATGCACTCCCAGCACTGGACCACCCTCTGGAGGTCTCATGATGCGAAGGGAATTTGGGGGAGAGGGAGAATGAAGAGTGCATGGAATTTGTGGATATTCGATTTGGGCAATTAATGTCAAAAGTATTCCAAAACTGTCGTACTTCAAGCCGCTCTCCATCATCCCCAATCTTGGTTTTGTCATCCTTTACATTTTTTTTTTCTGTTCGTTTTGGTGGTGTGAAAGGGCATCACATTATGGTTTAATTTGACCCTTCAGGATCTGTTTTGCTACTATTCTTCCTTCACCCTCCTGCCAAAACCTGGGGTCATCCTAAATTCCTCTTCCCTTTCCCTCCACATTAGCAGGTGTTGTTGGTTCCACTTCCAAACATGCCCTTTCTTCTCCCTTTCTACCACCACATCCCTGATCCAAATCATTAAAATTTCCCTCAAAGCTTCCGAAGATCTCCCTCCAACTCTGCTAAATCACATCCCACTCACATCCACATGCCCAGACAATAGCCTTCCTGAAATATGAATCGGATCTAGCACCCCCACCTAAAAGCTGGCCCCTCCACACTTCTCCAACCTCCTCTCTTACTAGACTTCAGGTGTGCAGGCCGCGGCCTCATCTCTGACCACCTCCAGCCCCTTTGCACATGCTGCGGTCTGCTTTCCTCTCATTCTCAGTTCAAAAGCCCCACCTCCACAGAGAAGCCTTGTCTAAATTAGGACCCCACACCCAATCAAGCCATCAGTTACTCCCTCACATCACCATGTTGTTTTCCTGCCTAGCCTCTCTGTAAAATAGAGATTCTGGTATTTATCTATTATCTTCCTCTAAAATATAAGTTGGATATGGGCAGACTGTGTTTATCTTGAAATCTGTGAAATCTCTAGCACATTGTCACAGGATCGGTTCAGAAAAGGCATTCAATAAATATGTTTGTACAGCTAAGTAGCTAAAGCCATTTCTTCTGTTTAAAACAGGCAAATGTGGCTGTTACACCACGGAAATGGATCAGGAGGTGTGATAGTTGCACAATAGAGACTCTCTCTTTCACTTCAAACAACAGCATGGATTTTACATGAAGTCGGAGGAATCCCTTCACTAACATACAAGCATTCCTGTGGAATCGCCTGCTCTAGGTATGGATATATCTAATAGAAATATGTGTTGTTTTTTTAAAGATGGCAGAATTGAAACAGAGATTATAGGAAATGAATGTTATATCAAGCATTGCTTATAAATCCAGATAATAATTGAAAATACATTGCACAAATGGACATCTTAAGTAATGCTATTCTTCTACCTTCCACACATATTTTTTAAAAGAACTGAGGGCCAGGAAATGTTACAGTTTTTGCATTATAGGCAGGAAATTTGCTTTTGAACAAAAACAGAAATCTCAGGACAAAGATCAAGCATATCTTTTTAAAACTGATTTCATAGTAATTGTTCTACAAATATTGAGTCACTTAGATTATCTTTAAGCATATCAATTCTTTCCCTTAAGCCCATCGATAATCCCTTTAACACAATCAAAGTTACTAGTTAATGTCAATTTACATATTTTCTTTCCTTGTTAATATACAAAGGTACATTCACAGAATCAGTGCATTTTGAATAAAAAGTAAACAGAGCAAACAGGAGACCTAGGGTCAACAACATCTTCAAGCCCAAGTTGGATCATCTAGAAACACAAAGTTTTGATGATTTTCAACTACTCTTCTCAGATGTAATGCTTTAAATATGGGTGGTTCAGCAGGCCAGCTTTTTTTTTTTTTTTAATATATATATCTTTATGGAGGGAGAGAGATAGAAACATCAATGATGAGAGAGAATCACCGATCAGCTGCCTCCTGCATGCCCTCCACTGGGGATTGAGCCCACAACCCAGGCATGTGTCCTTGACCAGACTCGAACCCGGGACCCCTCAGTCTGCACGCCAACACTCCATTCACTGAGCCAAACGGGCCAGGGCTCAGCAGGCCAGCCTTGAAGGACAACAGTATGTGCAGCCAGCCACCATGGATCATCCAAAAATATATGGACACTTCCAGGATGCTGGTGTGGGTTCATGGAGTTCTGTGCGTAAAATTAAGAACACTTTTCAAACTTTCCAACTTTAATATTCAAGGCCAGGAACATCCATCTCCCAACCCTGTATCTCCCAAGGTTCTCAAGGCTGGTTTTCATCAGGCAAGAGAGCACGCTGTTCCTCCTCTGTACCAAGGGTACTGTGAACTTTTGATCTACATCGAAGGAAAGAAAAGAAGAATCGTAATATTTCTCATCTTAAAAAAACTCAGTACCTATGTCTCTACCCAACTACCTCCTCAAAGGTATCTGCCAAGTCCTGAGGCTTAGAGCACCTAGCAATCTGCTGACTGTCAGAATGGAGGTAGAATGGTGTTTCTTTTTCATCTCCACAAGCCAACTTTTATTTTTTATTATTTTTTCCTTAATAAACCTTTATTGTTGAAAGCATTACATATGTCCGTTTTTTCCCCCATTGACCCCCTCCAGCCTGTCCCCACCCCCCACCCCAGGCCTTCACCGCCCTATTGTCTGTGTTCATGGGTTATGCATATATGCATACACGGTCTCCACAAGCCAACTTTTATTATTATTATTATTATTATTATTATTATTGATTTCAGAGAGAAAGGGAGAGGGAGAGAGAGGTAGAAACATCAATGAGGAGAGAGAATCATTGATCAGCTGCCTCCTGCATGCCCCATACTGGGGATCAAGCCCGCAATACGGGCATGTGCCCTTGACAAATTGAACCCAGAACCCTTCAGTCTGCAGGCCAATGCTCTATCCACTGAGCCAAACCAGTTGGGTCAGAAGCCAACTTTAAAGGGAGAAAGAAGTTCAAGAGTTGACCATACCTTCTTCTTCTCCTTGAGTACTCCAATAGATAAAACAAGCCCATCAATAGTCCCTTTAACACAATCGAAGTTACTAGTTAATGTCAATTCTCCAAGTCATGTTTCTCCACACAAAGAAAATGAAAATAAAAGACTGATTACTCACACTTGTCAGAGCCCACAGACCTTGTACAGCTGCTGCCCATTCAAAACCAATTTTCTCATACAGAAATCCACCCAGTGTTGGTCCCATAAAAGCACTAACAATGAAAAGTAGAAAGGGTATTAAATAATAGAGGGAGAGAGAGAGAGAGAGAGAGAGAGAGAGAGAGAGAGAGAGAGAGAGGGAGAAGGGGGGGGGAGAGAGATCCTTCCTAAGGCTGCATGCTCCTTCAGTTATAGGTTTTCATTACATTGGAACTATAAGTTCTAAAGAAAAATGGTGGTTCCTGGACCCAACATTGGGTATAAGAAAATGGTTCTACCTGAAAAATGATGATGCTTAAATCTTTTAAACAATTGTATAATTATAACTGCTTCTGAAAAGCTGATGCCTTACACGAAAATAAAATTAAAAGACAGGCATTCAAAATAATTTTTATACTATTCTCTCTACTCAGTGTTTGTATTAAAGATAATTTAATTCAGTACATATTTATGGATGATATCTACATTGCCAGCATACAGTTATCCCTTTGGCATGGTAGAGAGTAACAAAATAAATAAGTAAATAAATTTTAAAAATGGAGATATGGTCCTGATAAGTGAACTTAAAAATATCATTTTTATAAGACACGCATGGGACCATTTTGGTTAGGTATGTAAAACTGCTGGCATAACCAATGATCTTAGAGTCAGAGGGTACAGGTAAAACTCTGGTTCTGCCCTAAATAAATTTTGCCAACTCATCTGGTATCTCCATTTGTTCATCTGTAACTGAGGGACAGTATTTTCCATCTTGCCAGTGTGAATGGAATTCAATGGCTACTCACCCAACGGACCACATTGCACTGAAGAGACCTGACACGAGTGCCAGTGTACTTAATCCTTCTTCAAATCCATTTTCACTGCAAAGAGAGACAAGAGTGTATCAGTGATTGCAAGGGAAGCTGTGTGACAGAAAAGAACTGTGCATAATGGATAAAGTAAGCCAGGAGTAATCTGAACAAAACCAACAGCAAGATTACTCCATTTCTAAGATAAAAAGCTAATCTAAGTTGAAGGAATTGTCATACTAATGTCTACTTCCTGGGTTTCTAAAAAATAATTTTGTTGCATATATAAGATACAACATTAAGAATCACAATCCATTTGCACTAAATGCTCAGAAAAATATATAATGAAGAAATTCTTAAAATGGGATGAGCATGTAAAGGCAACTTTTAGAAAATGCAGGGCAGCTCCTTCTTCCTGTGGGAGATGTTGATTGACACAGCCTAAAGGCCAATATTCTCCCTGAAGGGATAAACTCCCCCAAGTTCACTCTGTGTTCTCCATCATCAAGCCTGCTAAGTGGGAGACTGCTGACCAAGTGGCAAATGTCTGGTGTGATACTGTGATTTATTATAAGAAATACATGTTTGGTCTTGGTTCATTTCTGGCACACACAGCTCCTAAAATCTTTGAAATGTCCTGATTGAAAGCAATAAAAGTCTTTGTTATATTAATGAGGTGACTTTTGGAAAACACCTAAGGATGGTGGCCGGTTGCCAGGAGAGCTGTTCCTGTGATTAGAGGGTTGAAACTTGCAGTCCCCCCACCCTCATCCCTCCACACCATTCACCTCTGGGCTGGAGGTTGAATCAATTGCCAGTGATCGACGATTTAATCAACCATGCCAGAGTAATAAAACTCCCATAAAAAACCAAAAGGACGGTTCAGAGAACTTCCTGGTTGGTGAACCGGAACGCTTACACCTGCCAACGTGCAGGGCCCAGACTCCATGAGTATAGGAGCTCCTTTGTTTAGGACCCCGCCATGTGTATCTCTTCATCTGGCTGTTGATTCCTACCCTTTATTATCCTTTGTTATAAACATAATCTAGGGAGTAAATTGGTTTCTGGAGTTCGGTGAGCTGCTCTAGCAAATGAATCAAATCCAAGGAGGGGATCATGGGGACATCTGATTGACAG